CTTGTTTTTTTTCCCTTGAGAGAGGAGTGGGTGTCCCCGCCCGCGCCAAAATTTGACAATTCTCTTCTTTGCTGTACACACTAATCCTCGAGTGCCTGGGATCGCGGGGAGCGCGACCTAAACTCGCCTGTGGTGGCCTTGACCTGCTGGCTGTTGACCTTGCCACCTGTCGGCTGTTGGCCTTGACCTTGACCACCCTTCTGTAGACTTTGACCCTTCCCGGCGGAGATACCGTCTGGAAGAAGCTGCGGAAATTTGAGGGTGGTTCAAGAGGATGTAGCGGCCGCGAGATCGATAAATTTAAGGGATGTGTAGTTTCCCGGAGAGGACCCCCGGGGAACGTTACCAGCTTGTGGTTGGCTCAGTGACCTCGCTCTGGTGCCCATGAAGGCGGGCGAGAGGCAGCACCAGGAGCTGGACAACCCTGGGCAACATCTACCCTGAAACTTTCACAAAGGTGGCCCAAAGATGGTGTATGCTGGTAGTAGAAAATCTTTGGGTGGACGGATGGGGACAGTTGTTTGATCTTTATTCTCCCAGATGGACGGATAGGATAGCAACGATAGCTCTTTGAATTAAATTTTAAAAGTTGGCCGGGGGGGGGGGGGGGGGCAGTTATTTGATCTTTATTCTCACAAATGGACGGATAAAATAGCTCTTTGATTTTTATTCTTAGAGGTGGACGGATAATTTTTTAATCTTTACTGCCAAACGTGGACGAATGATAAAATATTCTTTTACCTTTACTAGTTTACTCTCAGAGGTGGACGAAAAGGACAGGGCTTTGATCTTTAATATTCCCAAAAGTGGGCGGATAGGATAGTTCTTTGATCTTTATTCCCATAATTGTACGGATAGGATAGTTCTTTGTGTTTGTTACCACTCGCAACTATTGGGGTAACATTCACACGGAAAGTAACTTCACTTCTAGTTCATTTTTTTCCTTGCAAAGTTGAGACGACAGAGATGGAACAACGTTTTCTGATTAGGGTTAATCCGTCCCCGTGTTTTTATGCACCCCGCAGAATTTAGCAAAATTTGATCTTTTTTTTTTTGGGGGGGGGGGCATAATTTCTTATTATTTTCCTTTATCATTCTTTATTAGAATTAACATAATCGCATAATTTCACATTTTTTAGCTAAGTTTGCATAACTTCAAATTTTGTTTTGCATAAAACCGCTGGGACAGGTTATAGTATCAGCAAAGATTTTCAGTACCCTCAAATACACCCTTTAAGAGAGGTAAAATCTTTTGATTCATTCAAATGTCAACTGGACTCGTTTCTGTTTTTAGATTAATAACATGAATATTTGGAGTGATTTTCTTTTGGTCAGAACACAACGTTTTATGATACTGTTGTACATTGTACAGTGGAACTCGGATTCAACGAGGTCCCCAGGCCTGACCTAAAATCTCGTTGAATCCGAGTGTTCGTTATAGCAAACATGAGGTTTCGTGTAGATAATTACGAGCACTAAGCAAGTAATGTATAAAGAGAAGTCACAAGTAGTGCCTGAAATGCCTGCATATTATGAGCTGTGTAAAAAAAGACCCTATTCGCTCAAATGCACACGCCTGTGTCATCTCGATTGTTTATCAAAAAGTTGTGTTGCTGTGTAGAGCCTAGCATATGGCAACTTTTGATTCCATAGACCAGCGCACAATTCATTATGTAGATCTACGTCAAGACTAGCTTATCATTGTAATAGTGATCAGTTGCCGAGGGGGAAAAAAGACGGTGACGCTTTTGTATCTGCGACGTTCAACGCCGGGACAACTAGTGCCCCCCCCCCCCCCCCCCCCCAGACACCCGCACACAGCCACACGTGTGCAGGCCGTCCATCCGACCCTGACACACGCCAGAGTGGACATGTGTGCGTGTCAACAACGCATGTGTTGGAATGGAAAAAGGCCGCTTATTGGTGGCATGCAATCGGCTAAGTGAATAATGGTTCACGATGCAGGTGCAATGGATGGTTTTCGGGAATAGATAACGTTCGTTCTGGGAGAAAAATGAGCGAAGCCACGTCTGCGGGGGCTGTTCACCCTGGAAGCGACCTCGTTGAATCCGAGCTCGCTGATTTAAGTGCTCGTTGAATCCGGGTTATTTTTTATTGATTTTAAAGAAGAAAAAAAAACGGGGAATCTATCTCATCTCGTTGAATCAGAGTTCTCGTTGAATCCGAGCTCGTTGAATCCGAGCTCGTTGAATCCGAGTTCCACTGTATTGTATTGTTAAGCGCTCAGAACCAGCGTAGATCTACTTTAATCGGGGCTGAGCGCTATATAAATGTAATTTATTATTATTAGTAGTAGTAGTATTTTTATTATTATTATTATTATATTATTATTATAATTATAATAATAATAATAATAATAATAATTATTATTATTGTTATTATTGTTATTATTATTATTATTATTATTATTATTATTGGTTGGTTGGCGGGGGCTCTGGTGTGGTTTGTTCTTCTTTCCTATCAAACATCTATCGTCTTCATCTCCCCATCTTCTTTTTTTGTTATTATTATCATCATCACCATCATTATCATCTGTGGCGGCTCGTGGTTTATAGAACTGACCGGCCATCATTCACATCGACTCTTAAATTCTCCCTCCCCCCACCCCCTTCCTTCACAATACACACACACACACACACACACACACACACACACACACACACACACACACACACACACACACACACACACATACACACACGTACGCGCGCGCACACACACACACACACACACACACACACACACACACACACATACTCTCTCTCTCTCTCTCTCTCTCTCTTTCTCTCCCTCTCTCTCTCTCTCCTCGTTTTATACCCCTACTTTCGCCATCACCACCCTCTCCCCCACTCACACACACCAGTGTAAACATTGTAATATAATGTGAAATAGCTGAAATACTGTAGGGTCAAGAAACAATATTATGAATAATGTATGATGGAAGTTACTGAGAATAAAAGAAACTGACTTGATCGGCACAGAAAAAGAAACACTACTAGAGTCTATGCTAGAAAACAATCTGAAAGTGAAAAGCAATAAACTGCTGGTCCTGGCCTCCAGTACTTTAACCAAAGACTTTTGCTTTCTACACACCCACACGCAATATCGACGTGCACTTGACCTGTAAATATGTACATGCAATAAGAACCTGTCCTGTATGATGACAAAAAGTCAATTGATACTTTACCAGTGACGCTGTTCCATGCAGATTAAGTCTACAATCAGATACTATACAAATCTGGACAAAGTTAACACATAACAGTTTCCCATCATTATGCAACCAAACGTTCTTCATCGTAACCTACTTCTCAGTTCTCAGAACACTGTTGTAACAAAGTGGGGAAGTGTGTCAAATGCTAATTATAGAACTTAGTTTCTAGTCTAGACGGTCAGAGGATAGTATAAGAGCGTATAGTTTCTAGTCCATCATTGGTCTTGTCTAGCTGCGGTGACGGTGGAAAAGGGAAGGGAAAGGAGGGGGTAGGCCTATTGTTTTCGGCCCAGACTCTGACAGCCGAGCGCCTATCGCTCCTCGTTATAATTCTCCTTATATATCTTCACTAGACGATTCCTCTTTTCGCCGGCTAGACTCATATGGGCCAGGTAAGTTATTAGTGGGGAGAAATCGCTAAATAAATATCAAACAGGAACTATAGGGGGCAAAAAATCAAATAAAGAAAATAGATTAGTGCCATGCTGACAATAATGATATTTAGAAAAAGTCTGAACGATAAATACATGTACATGTACTGCTGATAAAATAATATATATGTCTGTGCTGCTCAAAACAGTCTCATTCTTATTTTAAGCAACACAGAGGCCAACTTGGCAATCAAGGGATACTCTATTCGCTCTGAGGGCAGTCGATGGATTTGCCCAGCGGACTGACGTCATCGCTGAATCGCTGGACCCGCGTGTTTGGTTTGTCCTCGTACAAAGTTCGGTGCTTTTTCGGTAGTTCCCACCCCCCTTGTTTGACCTACATCTAGATCTAGATCTAGATATCTAGTTCTATACGTTTGATTCGCGGTGAGCTAAGATATCAAACCTTAAAACATTAAATTATGGTAAAATTCAGGGGGGAATGCCCCCCTGAAACCCCCTACCTATTTTTATTAGGTCAGGGGGGCAAGCCCCCTTGAAACCCCCCTACTCTTGGGGCCAAAACCCGTGAATAACAATTG